CAACACTGGGGGTTGCGAACCAAAGCCGGTCACGAAAAAAAAAAAAAAAAAAAAAAAAAAAAAAAAGATAAAAAGTTAAAATAGTAAATTTTATGTTATGTGTATTTTACCACAATTTTTTTTTTTTTTAAAGCCTTCCCTGCTCTGGAAGAAGGTCCAAGGACAGGGTCTGGGTCTGGCCTGGGGCAGTTGACTTAGCATGATGCTGGGATACGTGCAAGTAACCTGCCCTGAGTGTGCACCTCACCAGGGCTTTCACTGAACTCCAGGGGCAAAATGCCCAGAGCCACCGGGTAGCCCAGATGGCCCATAACAAATGGGGAAAATGTTTATGACTTAATGTCAAATGAAAAAGAAATCAAGAATTATGTCTAGGTTGTGATTCCCACCATTTTGGCCAAATCAGCAAAGGTCTTGGAGAACCTGGAAAGGAGAAAGCAGGGCAGATTTATGAGGGTGGTGGCATTGGAGGCGCGATGTTTCTTCTCTTGTGCCTTCTACCGTTGTTTGTAACGAAACCCTGAGCCAGGTAGGGAGGTGCTGGGACTGCAGGTCTGGCTATTGAGAAGGCCAACAATGAACAGGTGGCCGCTGGCTCCCATCTCCAGAGGGAAGCTGTACAGAACATGAGCAGAGGCCGCCTGCGAGTGCTTAAAATAGCGCCCTCAGCAAGCTGCTCACACCCAGGGAGGTGGCAAATTCGGGCTCCATCAGGATGCGGAGTGGGCGCTGGTGGTGGCGGCCAGGAATTCATTAGCAGCATCTCTGCCTCCTCCAGACAGAGCTGGGCGGAGAAGAGTGTGTCTCAGATGCGGAGAAGGTGGCCATGGATCTCAAGGACCCCAACCGCCCCCGGTTCACGCTGCAGGAGCTGCGTGATGTGCTGCATGAGAGGAACGAGCTCAAGTCCAAGGTGTTCTTGTTGCAGGAGGAGCTGGCCTACTATAAGAGGTAAGCGTTCCCAGGAAGTCCAGGCCTAACCCCTGCACTGGGCAGCCTGAGCTAGCCCCTCTCTGGCATGACTCCGAGTTTTGTACAGTTAACTTCAGAAGACAAGCATTTCATCTGTGTCCTTTTCTGGTGCCCCTTCTGGCCTAAACCACTTACATTTAAGCTCACCATCCCTTTGTGAAACTCTTGAGCCCAGAAGCATTTTATAATTCAGAACTCTATTGCTCTTGTTGGGTGCATATAAGGGGGAAAAAAAAAGAACTTTTCAGCTATTAGGAGAAATATTACATATGCTTTATGTTACCCCGCCAGCAGGGTCTGGGGCAGCACTGAAATCCAGCAGATTCATACTTTTGCAGCAAAGATATGAACATTCAAACTAAATGAGATAAATAAAGATTATAGACAGTCTGATGACAGTTCATTTCAGGTCTTGCCAGCACATGAATTACCAAAAAGTAAATTATGGTTTCTAGAGCTTCCTCATACCATGCCCCTCATACTCGTTCAGCTTCATACACACTGCCCTTCTTTTTGTTCCTCAAAACACACCATGCTCATTTCCACCTCAGGACCTTTGCACTTGCTGCTCTTGCTACTGGGAAGACATTCCCTTGGCACTAACTATGGTGACCCTTGGTCATTCAGGGATTGGGTCAAATGTCACTTCCTCCTCAGAGAGGCCCTCCCCATCACAGCTTATCCAAAGGAGTATCGTGTCCTGGTCACTGTCTGTCACTTTACCCACATTTACTTTCTTCATGGCCCTTTTCACCATCTAACATCATCCTCTTTATTGGTGTGCTTGTGTTATTGTCTGTTTCCATACCAGACTGTGAGCAACTTGAGACCAGAAGCCTTATTTGTCTTGTTCATGGCTAAATTACCAGCACTTAGAATGGAGCTTAGCACATAGTAGGTGCACAACAAATATCTGTTGAAAGCTGGAAGGAAGGACAGATGCCTCAGATGTGGTCCCTGTTCTGTTGGGGAAAAAGATGCACAAAGAATACAATACCACACATTTTTATTGAAAACCCACTGTGTGCTGTCCTGTAAGACAGGTTGTCCAACTGTGCACTGGCTATTCGAAGACGGGAGAGATCACTTCTGGCTTAGGGATGGGGTAGAAATCAGGAATGCTTCATGGGGGAGGTGGCATTTGAATTGGGCCTTCCTGAAAGGATAGGGTAGAACTGGAGATGTTGAAGGGTAGTTGGCATATTCCAGGTGGAAGAAACCACAAAGGTGTAAGACAAGCAAGCATGTGTAAGGACAGGAAATGGAGTATTCTATTTGTTTTGGTGGCTGGCCAGTACAGGGACCCGAATGCTTTGACCTTGGTGTTATAACACTGTGCTTTAAGCGACTGGACTCCAAGTAAACTGAAAAGATACAGTTTAAAAAAAAAAAAAACTCCCCACAAAAGTATGCACCTTCTCAGACCACCAGACAGTACTCTTCTGGAATGTTCCAGCTCTCACGGAATTTTTCGCTTTTTTATCTCACATCTCTCATTTCCTTCCAGTGAAGAAATGGAAGAGGAAAACCGAATACTCCAACCTCCACACATTGCACACCCGAGAATGTCCCCCCAGCCAGAGTCTGGGATCAAGCGACTGTAAGTGATGCGCTTCCAGCGTGTGGGATGCTTTGCATGCAGCTGACCCGGTGGTTCACACGTCCTGAGTTCTCTTACTGGGCACCTGCTCCCAGGGCCAGGCTAGCCACTAACCACGTCCCACTGAGACATGCTTAACACTGGAGCACATTTGGCCTGGCCACCTACTCTGAATTCATCTCCCTTCTTGAATGTTGAGTTCTTCCTAGGGGGTCTCTGGGCAGAGAGGTTTGGGGAGGGCCGAGAGGGAGGGAGGAAGTTTGGGCCTGTGGCTGATGCTCAGGAGCTTGCTTGGGTGTGTTTCAGGTGGGATGGCTGTGTCTGGGCCTTTGAGGACAGCAAATAAGGTGGGGGGGTGGAGGGTCACTCGTCTTAAGGGCTTAGAAGCTCAGCTTGGAGATGTCTGGAATGGCCCCAGGTCCATGCATCTATCCATTTCTATGATGATGCATCCTTGTAGCCCTCTGTCTATTATTAAGTATTGATTGGTGCATAATACATGCAGAGTTGTGCCCTGGTTGCTGTGGTGAACACACACACAAAAAAGAGCAACCCAGTCCCTGCTTTCAACTAGACTTTAAGCCACTTCAGTGGTTCTTACCATTAACACATCCCTTTGAGATTCTTTTTTTTTTTTTTTTTTTTTTTATAATCCCATATAAAGATGACCGGTAAGGGGATCTTAACCCTTTTCTTGGTGTTGTCAGCACCATGCTCAGCCAGTGAGAGAAGCGGCCATCCCTATATGGGATCTGAACCCGGGG